CAGGAAGTGTCAAGGAAGGACAGGCAGGGGCCTGGCCAGAGCAAGCCAGGGTAGTACTCAGGGAAAACAGGTCGTCTCTGTACCCACTTTCATTTCTGCTCGCTATTGCTGTGCGTGTGGGAGCAAGGGTCAGTCATGGTGGGCATGTAGCCAAATTCTTCCTGCTGTCCCTAGGGCTTGTGGGGGCGGGGGGGGAGGGAGAGCCATTGGCTGCATATTGCACTGGACTCTGTCCCGTCCCTTTGCTTAAGTGCATTGCTTCCTTCCTTTCTCCCTTTTCTGGCTGGTAGTTGGACTCGCTGAAAAGGCCACAAGTGGTTTTTAAGCTGACTAATAAAAGAAGTATTTTGTGTAGCAATCACCCTATGTGCATTTTTTTTTTTAATTCCAAATGTAACCTCCACCCTATGCCCAGCCTGTTCCTCTGATGGGCTGGAGCCCCTCCCCCCCCCAAAAGGTAAGAGCTGTTGTGTCCTCCCCCGGCCCTGCCCCATCCCAGGAGTGATGAGAGCCTGATGAGAAGGACACTGAGTGAACAGCAGCTGCAATAGAGCCCCTGGGAGGAGGCTCATCTGTGTAGACATCTGGAAATAAGGTAAGAGAATAGGCTTGATCCTGTTTCTGTGAAAGGCTCTTGTTTATTTACGTCTTTTCTGTAAGGCCCGTGCAAGAAGCGGGAGCTTCACAGAGGCAGAAGGCAAGAGGGAAATACTCTAGTGTACTTCTGTATTTGCTGGCCTGTTGCCAGCAACAGGGTCTGAGGAGGATCTTGGCCTGGGGACCAGGCCATCTAACCCTACTGACCAGAAAGGAGAGGGGGGTGAGCAGAGTCGTCGTAGCCAGGGCCTGCTTGGGCTGTTTTTTTGTGCTCCTGATGGCCGCTTGTGCTGTGAGAGGGGTGGATCCAGGCTGGTCCCTTGCCCCACAAGGCTGTAGCTGGCTAGCTGAGGGCAGCTACGCCTTCTCTGGAACCACTGCCCACTCTGCACGTCTCTTGGGGAAACATGATTACTGGACTGGGGTCAGTGGAAAAATGCCTCATGGCTGTTGTTCCTCCCTGCTCCAGCAAGAGGGCACTGATGGCTGGGCTCAGCATAGAGAGGTGGCACCCCCAGCAGGTTAACTGTGAGCAGTGGCAGGGAAGCCACAGGCAGTGACTTGAGCTCACAGTGTTAGTCCAGGTTGCAGTGTCACCAGCAAGGGGGACCAGTAAAACTGCCTCAAGACCAAGAGGACAGAGAGCACTTGGAATGGCGTGAAGGAAAGCCTCATGCCCTGCTGCTCCAGCGGCAGGCAGCTCCTTGCATCCGGCCGTTCCAGGAAGTCACAGCTAGGGAAGGAAGCAGCTTGTGAAGTTAAAGTGATTGATCTCCCCTGCCTGCCCATCCCTCCAGCACCGACTTACAGCATCGCCTCTTTAACTGGGAGGGAGGTCTGGAGCCAGGTCCTAACAGTACTGCCATGTGCCTCATACAGTCGAACCACCACAGCTTCGGGTCTGTCCTCCGCCTTCAGGGATGGAGCAGAAGGAAGTTCGCACAAACAAGACATGAGCATCCTATCCTACATCTCCGGATCTAGCCAGACCCATGTGATTGTGGCTGAACTGCTATGACTGAGTGCACACGCGCTCCGAGCTGCCTGGTGTGCAGCGTTACAGAGCTGTGGCAACGGAGGCTGCAGAGCCGGGGCATACAGAGGCAGGTGCTGCAGCGATCGCTGGTGAGCGCCTGTCCAGGCTGGCAGAGGTGCGCTAACCCCCTCTTGTCATGGTGTAACGGGACATGCAATCCAGAGGGCGCGCTACGTCCACTTGACTGAGCCCGACAGCCACCCAGGGCTGGCAGTGCCGAGTGCAGAGCAGACCATGCCTGCCTGGGTTACATGGGCTAGAAGATGGGTAGAAGAAGCAACAGCTTAACTCAGAGCCCCCAGCACCCACAGCACCAGGAGTCTTTTCACGACACTCTGGGAATGAGACAACAGTTAAGTCGAAGTGCCAGAGGAAAACTCAACGCGGAAGCTGGTTTTCACTGTGTTGGAGGGTTCCTGCTGCTACCTATGGGGCCAGTCACGCTGCTGTCTTTCACTGGTCTGGTCAAAGGCCCGCACCTTAGCCTCCCCCTTTCTGCCCTGGGCCTTTACCTGCTTGACAGCCTCCAGCACGACTGCAGGTGAGCTCACAGAAAAGGCACTCCAGGCTGGGCACTGGGCAGAGCTGGCTGGGACCGTGTGGAGAGGGAAATTCAAGTTGTACGCACACTGGATCACACCAGCATCCTGGAAGGAACCTGCAACACGAGAACGATTAGCCGGCCTCTATGCAGGCATACCCAGAGATGCTGCACCTTGTTCTCACGCCGAGGGTTGCTGGGGCATCCTGTGTTTCCTGACAGGGTGCAGCTCAGCTCAACACTCACCCCGGTGAGGCATCACAGCGTAGGTGAACTGGTGGTGTGCGATATCTGCCATGGCATCGGGGGACTTGGGTGCTCTCAGCCTAAGGTGAGAGGTGGGTGAGACTGGTGTCTCTGCAGCACTATCTCGTCCCGCAGCCCCTGAACTTGCCATTACCCCTCCATCACCCAGTTTGGTGTCAGGCAAGCACTGTGACAAGTCAGCTGTCGCCCTCCTCCACCTTGACACTGGGCCCTGCCTTTGAAGCCAATGAGCCTCTGGTTTCTGGCAGCAGGAAACAGACCCTGGACTAGGTGTCCCTGAGGTTAAGAAGGACCTTTGAAGGGTGGTCTCCTATGAAACTTGTAGCTGATGGACTCAAACTGGAATATGTGGTGTTTCTCTTAGCTTTGCCTGTAGCCATAGCATTGCCATTCCTTCCCTCTCCTCATGTCTTCCCTCCTGGGGTGTATTTCGCCCAGCAACAGAGAAATTATATGGTTCAAACATGGATCCGATCTCTCCTTTCCTGAATGAGCTGAGCATAACTCATGGGACTTATATTATCTTAATTAAAACTGATTAAGTTAGCCAGAAGTTCTTAGGAGACAACCAGCCAGCTCAACTAATACTAGAGTATTTCCTTATTAACTATGATCATTTAGGGCCAAGCACTGCCTTGACTTCAAAGAGACACTTCAGAGGCCAAAAGCGACAGCTGCAGCTCCGCCCTCGCCCCGAACGTACTCACAGTGAGAGGCTGAGGATGTTCCTGTGGGCAGATGCACCGTATTTGCTGTCGTTCAGCAATGCCACCCCAAAGCCGTGCTCAGAGAGATCCAGCCACTTGTGAGCCCACACCTGCAGGAGGCACCAAGGGAAGTACTTACCACATACATAAAGATACTGCCTGAGGACACCAAGTGTCTGCCTGAGAACAAAAGCAGCTCCACCATAGAGAGGTTGGCTGTCCCGTTGTTGGAGGGAAAAGAGCTGCCCTGCTGCGTGCCCGAAGAGCTGGCGACAGGAGGACTAGCCTGGCCATAGGCCCAGACCACCTTCCCTCTCACCTCGAATCGGGCCCAGTCCCACGATGTGTTCCAGTGCGTTGGCCGCTGCAAGTGCCCAAATTGGATCTCATAGGTAGCGTTTGTGCTCCGGACCTGCACAGGGAACTCCACCTTCAGGAACTTGTGAGCCTCCTTCCACTCAACCTAAATGTAGTAGAAGGATGGCATCAGCACAGACAGCTGACAGGCAGAGGCTGCACTGCTGTCCTTCCCTCGCTTGCAGCAGCCAGCTCCCACCCAGGCTGAACCAGGTACAACACAACAGCACTCAAATCCAAAGCCAGCTAGCTGCACTGATGGGTCTTTCCTCTGCCCTCCTATCTCAGGGCTAGGAGGGTACAGCCTGGCACCTTTCCTGGATTACCTCCCAGGTGCAGGGCTCCCATCCTTGGGCTGCCTTCCCCTCATGTGGAGAAGGACAGGCAGCGGGCTCCAAGGGAGGAACCAGGAGGGAGATGTAATTCACAAGCGAGGTTTAGTTCCCCAGGGCCCTTCCTGCAAAGCACACAGGGACAAGCCATACCTGGGTCAGGAATCGGATATACGGGCAGGCGGCATCCAGGATGATCTCCTGGGTTAAGGTACTCCTTTCCCCAATCTGCAGAGAGAAGCTTGCGCTTCCTCGCAGCCCTCCAGCCAGGGTGACTTCCAAAGGCTTTAGCAGAGTTGTGACGGGCTTCCTAGAGTAAAAGGGTAAAGGCAGGGCTGGTCTCCAAGCCTGGTTGCTCTAGGGTTCCCAAATCCTGATTCCCCCCTCATAAGACAGCAGGCAGTCACTCCCTCAGAGTGACTGCACAGAGCCTCCTGTGAAGTGCAGGAGCAGCTGTAGGGTTTGGTTACAATTGGGCCTGAGGGAGAGGGAAGCAAGAAGCTTGGAGGTAAGTCAAGACCTGAGTACTGCATGCACTGCTCCTCTACCTGGTTTCCAGGTGATAATCCATCACGTCCCAAGCATCCCAGTACAGGGGAATGTCATCAAAGAGTGCAAACTGGTTGGCACAGCATCCATCTGGGACTGACTCTCTAGAACAAAGTGGAACACAGGAACAGCAGCTTAACAAGAACTGGCTTCACAAGCAGATTAACAAGAACTGGGTGGAGGAGAGAAGGACTGAAGTAGAGTGGAGGAAGTTCTACTTCAGCCTCCAGCATGTTAGGGGAGCCTCGGTTCCAGGAACTGGGTGAGAGACGTACCTTTCAGAGTGGGCCAGCCGAAGTGAGGTCAGGCGTCCCATCGTGTCCAGGCAGACTGCAATCACCCCGTTCTCCATGGCAACGGAGCCATCCTCCTGAGAGGAGAGGGCAGAAGGAGACTTCACAGACCCAAACCTGCAGGGGCTGGACTGGTTCTGAAATGTCCCGTCTGCAAATCGAGTGTGCCAGCTTCCCTAAGCATCGCCCCTACCAAAGCGTTTGGTGTGGGGGTACAGCAACCCAATGCCAGCTGCAGTTGTGCTTACCTGTTTCATTACTGACACAGGCTGAGGGGGCAGCAAGGGCTCCCTGGCCACAGAGTAGCCCATACTGGGGGCTGTCACCAGAGCTGGAAAGGAAAGAGGATCTGTTCCACCATCTTCCCCAGACACATCCTTAGGTCACGTTACACTGCCTTCCTGCTCTCAAGCCAGACCTACCACCTCCTTTCACATCCTCTGCTTCTGCAGCCATAGAGACAGTGTAAGTGGGATCAGCCCCAAGGAGCAATTTGCCAAGTCAGTGACCCCCTCTCCAGGGCAGGGAGAGGCGGAACGTATCTTTGCCATCTGTCTCTGTCTTCTAATACAGAAGTAACCCCAAATTAGGCATACCTAAAGTCTCTGCTCCAGTTGGCCCAGGCCTGGAGATGACTTCAGTCCGGTCCCAAGGCAAAGTGTTCAATACGAGGGTGCTCTCAGCGCTCTCAGACTTGGGCTGCAGCAGTTCCCCACATAAGGACTGCACGGCTTCCTCTTGGAGCAGGGCACCAGCCCTGCGGATCTCTGGACAAAAAAAAAAAAAAGGCCCAAGTTGGACTCGGCCAGGCTGTTTCACATGTCTGAGATAGATAGTTTCTGGAGCTTCCATGCAGTATGCACACATTTTAGTTACTGCCAAGCTAAAATTATTAATTATTGCTAATATTAATTACTATCTAAGTATAATGGTAAACTTCATTTATTTATTAACCCTGTTATTACCAGATTACACTGAGCTGCTACTGCAGCTCAACTGAAAATTGTTAAGCTGTAATGAAGCGAGCCATGGTAACTGCCTGGCAGTAGGCAGGAGCAAACTTCAGCTCCCGCCTTTGCTAAAGTCTATCCTGGCATGCAAAAGAGCAGGCAGAGACGTAAACAAGACAGGATGTTATTTATCTACACTCCTGCCAAATCTTTGGTTGAGTTGACACTACTATTGACACATGCCCACACATGCCATCCTGCAGACGTGCGATCCATAGTGCCTGGCGTTCCAGCTGCAGGAATGAAACTTCTGCAGCCCCTCAAGGCAGGACGTGTTATCCAGCACACTGTGTGCTCAAATGGATAAGGCCTCCCCCCCTCCTAGCCAAACTCTCTGCTCACCCGTGTAGTATCGGAGGGCATCCTCAACCACGAGCTGGATACAGCTGCCTGGCAACACATCATGGAACTGGTTGAGGAGCAACAACCTAAAGCAAAGAACAGAAGCCATGTGAGGAAGCAGCGGAGTGCAGTGGATTTGTTCTAGCTTACCAAGCCCTGTTTGCAAGATGAACAGCCTTAACTGTTTCCTATGTCCTGTTTGCAAATAAATGAGAGAAAAGGATTTTTTTTTTTTCCATAGCACTCTTTACATCCTTTTGTGTTAGGACCTGTTAGTTGCCATCTAGTAAGCCACAAACATGGGAGGTAAGAGCTACTTTGTTTTCTCCTGCTTGGGGCTACTAAATATGTTGTAGCACAAGCTCAGACAAGTCAAAACTGGCTAGGAACAAGCTTAGGTTGCAAACTAAGTTTCCAGCCATCAGAGGAGATTCTCCAATGGGAGAATCAAGCCAAGCCCTGAAACACTTGCCAGGTGGACTCCTGATCACCTTATAGAAGGGGGACATGTACATGCCGCAGTGCAGTACTGGCTCTGCAAAAGGCCCTAAATCTTAACTCTTCCACTCACATCTAGAGGGTCTCAAAATGATCATGTGGTTGGGCACCCTTCTGGCTCCAGCTGAACCGGGCCAAGAAATAAGAGACCATCGCCCACCATCACTTCATTAAGCAGCCAGGTAATTGCCTGCGCTGGTTCTGTCTGACTGGTCCAGGCTAGCTTCAGAGCGCTGAGAGCAGGGATTTCTCACCACGCCCAGGCAGGGACAAGGATCTGCAGGGGATGGGATAGCAGTAACGCAACAACAGCCAGCTCACCTGTGCCTGTGCCCCTGTGAAGTCCCCAGCTGTCACATGCTGCTGTACTTTTATAATCCCTGGGCATGGCACTCATCACATTCTCCCCAGTGCTGGCGGCACTCCCTTACGCCCTCACCTCCAGAGCCGCTGCAGTTCACTGGCAGGATACTGGAATTTGCCTCCCCGTGCCAGAGCCAAGGTGCTGAGAACTTCCACATCGTGGAGTATGCGCTCGCACTCCCGGTTCCCCTTCTTTATCTGGGGCCAAAGCATGGAGAGAAGGAAGATGCTTAGGAAAGTGGTAGTTAGAAATAGATCACCTGCCCCAGAAGTAAAAACCCAGCTCCAGTACATGGAGGTTGGTTATTCACAGGTGTCATGAATTTCAAATTACTAGTGAGGGTTTTTTTTTTTCTTTTTCTTTCTTTCTTTCTTTTTTTTTTTTTGGCCATAGCCGAAGGTGGTTTTCAGCCCTGCAGCTGCCAGCACGGGACACAGCTTAACTCCCAGGCCCAACTCTTCCTGGCTCTGTTCTCACCGTCCTTTTTTTTTCATGTCTCTTCATGCCATCTCTGTGGCTATCAGGGCCCTGCCAAACTGAAGGATGCAGAAGCTATTGACCAAGGGGTCAGTGCTGTGGTCAGCTTTCTTCTCATCCCTTGAAGAAAGGCTGATTAAAGACTAAGAATGGATCTGCCTTCTGGAGCCCTGGCTACACAGTGGCTCCCAGTCGAGACCTAACGGGCACTGCCCAAACCCTGAAGCCACCTGAGCAGAAGCAAAGAGAACTGAAAATGGCCACTTCCCCTAGCGGTGAGGGAGACAGCTGTCCCCCCACCCACCCCGGTCCCGACACACACACTCACCTGCGCCTGGGTGGTGTACGTGCCGTTGTGCAGCTCCAGGAAGAGCTCTCCCACCCAGGTGCACAGCTGTGATGACTCCCTCTCCAGTGCAGAGAAGAGTCGGTCAGGAGTGGAGATCTGAACCCTGTGGGAGAGACACACAGACAGTGATGAGCTGGGAGAGAAGCCCACAACACAGCTAACAGTGGATACCAATCAGAAAGGAATGGCCTCAGAAACCCCAATCCACCCACCCTGCAGAGCTCGAAGGGGTGTGCGGGAAGATATGGCTGAGTGAAGCCAAAGACGTTGACCACCACAGTGCAGAGCAAACAAAGTGGTGGTGGGGAAATCAGAGTCCATCACGATACAAGAACCTGGGAACATCTGATGAGATGGCAAAGCCCAAAGGGATTACCTGAAACAAGCACAAAGATGTATTTTTCCACAAAGAGCGTTTCTAAGCAGAGTAAGTCCTTGCCCAGGATGTCACATGCCCAAAGCAGACTTTGACCCAAAAGATAAACCAATGGAGCATATATCCAGTGCTGGTGGTTAAATATGAAGGTCTAGATGCAACTTTTAGCTCAGAAATACCCCTAGCTACACACTGTAGGCAGGAGAGAAGCAAGGCCGGAGGACTGGTATGGGATATGCCAGCTGAAGGGCAGCAGCTAGTCCACGTCTTGCCTCGTGGCCAGAGCAGTTTTCCCCAAATCAGGCCCAACAAACCTTTTTCCCTTATCCAGAGCTCTTGGACATAGTTGCTTTGTAAGAAGCAATGGGAGCCTCTGGAGGCTCCTGTGGATTGCCAGATCCCACGCACACAGAATTCAAAAAGCGTAGGTTAGAAGGGCCTCTGGAAGCGCCCAGGCCAACGTCCTGCTCCAAACGAAGCTGACTCAAAGCTACATTAGTAAAAAGAGGTCTCCATCTACTACTTCTCATCTTTGCATCACATACACTCCCAACTCAAGACCATGGATGCACGCCTTGCCACCTCACCAACATATTGCCTCTCCCCTTTCCGCCCCACACATATTGTGTTCCCCACAACCTCCTACGGCCCCTCTCTCACTCCCATCTGCTCACACTGCTTGCCTTGGGGAAAAGGCTGTACCCCAGACAGGGAGGTTGCTGCGTTAGCGCCTCACCCCACAGCTCCGTTGAGAGCTCAAAAGCAATCAAAGAGACCCCGTCTCCCTGATAACCCTTCTTAGCGCTCCGCTTGCCTCGCTTGCTCCCTGCCCTCCTTTGCACACTCTTTACTTCGGTGCTGCTGAAGGCCAGGTCCAACTCAAAACAAGCGCTCTGTGCCTGCACAAGGAGGGAGGAAGGGAGCTGTCCTCTCACCTTGGGAGCCCATCTGTGTCACTCATTCTCTTCATCCTGTCGAGCATCTTCTGCGTGGGGCCCCCTCCTCCATCTCCAAAGCCAAAGAGGAAAGCGCTGTGGTTCACACGTCCTTTGTCCTTGTTGTTCTTCACCGTTTTCAACATCTAGAGGGGTTTTTGGGCAGATGCTTTCCTCAGGCGCCCAGCCCCAGCTTCCACAGACCCACACAACAATGCCAGGTCAGTCTTCGGGGTGCAAAGCCTGGCCCTGCCCCATTTTCCCACCCCAAGCTGTAGGGATCAGGCATACACGCATCCCAGAGGTAGGCAATCAGCTGCCAGCAATGCTGCTGGCTTTCCCATTCCTTTCTTAGGCAGCACCCTCTCCTAGGAGCCTCAGATCTGGCCCCAAGATCTGGCACCACACTTCAAGTGCAGGTTTGGCAACTTCACTCACCTCCTCCACTCGCCCGTGCATCCCATAAGAGTCACCAGGGGGGAAATGGGCCAGGACTCGGGAGCCATCGATGCCTTCCCAGAAAAAGGTGTGATGCTGGAGGGGAGCCAAAGGAAAGTGCGGTGTCTAGAACAGCCTCCCTGTATCACACAGCTGCCAAACAGCTGAAGCTCAAGCCATTTTTCCTGAGAGCTCCCAAAAGGAAATCTCTGGTGACACCTGCACCTGCAGTGGTCAGTTCACCCTTTGTCCTTGGTTTCAAAGCTCCCAAACTCCTCTCCCACATACAGGTGTGTGCATGGAGGGCTCATTTCAAACTACATCAGTGCAGAACTCGTTCACTAAAAGCCCACACTCCCTTGCAAGCCCTGTCAAAAACACAAAGCCCAGCGCCCATGTGTGCAGGGAAGTGCCCAGGGGTCAGGAACCTCTGTGCCCTTGAGAACACTAACCACTGGGTCTTCGCTTCTCCTCCACAGGATGTCTTGACAGATCAGTGCAAGGAGAGGCTTTCTGTCATGGGCACACGAGTCTCACAGGCTGACCACTGCTCCGTCTTGCACCATCCAAGGTTGCACAAGGATGGGGAGTGCCACCAGGGCAGGGGATAGCAGTGGAGAGCCTGGGTTTGCTGTCTGCCAGCCCTGCACACAGATCACAACTTCCCATCTGGGGGGTTGTGAGGAGCACAAGAAAAACAGAAGCAGCAAGTGTTTGCAGGCCAGGGGCTCAGCAGGGATCTCTAACCGTGTCCTTCCTCATCCTATGGCCTGACAGGAAGGACAATGCCACCACCGTAAACTGCCCACGTCTTTGAGCTTCTGGAAAAAGAGCCTACGTCAGCTAAGCCAAAGGACTGGTTCAACCCCGGAACAAACTGGTCCGGCCCTGGAGACTGACTCCAGCAACTACATGTCCATCCCCCAGGAACAGGAGAAGCACAGCTCACCGGGAAGGTGTTCACCAGGTTCCAGCAGAGCTTCTGGGTGAGGAACCGCCTGATCCCAGAGCCACGCATCAGCTGGGGCAGCTGGGCTGAGTACCCAAATGTGTCCGGCAGCCAGAACTTGGGAGCAGCAGAGGGAGAAAAACACACGAGTCACACTCTGAACACACACCACAGCCAGAGCATGGAGGGGGGGTAACCTGGATTCAGGCTCCGAGACCCTGCTGCAAAGGGGACCCCAGAGGTGGTAGACAAGCAGCTACTCTAAAGACCTCTCAGGGCAATACAACCAAGGCCTAGGCCTGTGCTAACGGTCATGATCCAAGCTCTACATGGGGGATGGTGTATTCACTCATCAGGGCTTTAGCTGCCAAAAGCAGACCCATGTGAGGCGCCCGAACATCAGATCGGAAGGCAAACCACAGAGAAACCCCTTTCCGCAAGGAGGGATAGAAGGAGAGCACATGCAAGGGAGGCACGGTGAAAAGGAGCAGGTAACCTCTGAGCAGATCCGGCCAAACTGCTGCTGGAAGAACCGCTGACCCTGGAGAAACTGCCGCACCATGGACTCCCCGCTGGGCAGGTTCCCATCCTAAGGGAAAAGCACAGGGACTCGGTGCCCTTTTCTCCAACGCGCACGTCAAGTCAGGCACAGAGGAAGCGGAGGTCTTGCAAGCCCCCCATTCCCTGTCATCCTGCCCTGGCAGAGCGCAGGAAACGTCTGACAGGACAGAGCTCAGCCCTGCACAACAGAGACCCAACCCAAGACAGGGTGAAGCAGGGTCTGGACAGCAACCTTGAGGGATTCTGGGTGGAGCAAGGATCTGTGACAATCCTCTCTCTGCCTGCCCAGAAAGTGCATGAGCCCCTAGACCAGTTTCCAGCTCACAGTGCAGTCACGTGTAGCTTTGACATGCTGAGGAAGGGTCCTGGTGATGGGAGGAGCAGAGTCTAGATCAAAGCTCCTTTCTCAGGCAATGAGGTGATTGGGGAGGCGGGGGGGAGGACAGTATTTTTGCTAGGCTGGACAATGCAGACAGTGGCTCTTTTCTGGCCCCTGAGAGCACCACCAGTCAGACGGGCACGGAGAAGGCTTTGCTCTGGCCAGTACTAGTTTCACAGCTTGTCCCAGACAGAGGTGGCTCAGGGAAGTGCAATGAGCCAGGGTCCCCTTGTTTCTCACCATTTCTACCCAGGTGCCTCCGACAGGAACGAACCGTCCCTTTGCAACATAGTCCTGAATTTGCGTGTAGAGCCCAGGGTACCAGCACCGCACCCACTCGAACTGCTGCGCCTGCCAGAACACAGCAGTCAGTCTCAGCTCCCACCCCACCACTCCACGCACAAGTCCCTGCCCTGTGCAACTGCAAAGGATGCTCCTGGTCAACGCCCTCTCTCATTTAGAGTCATGCTGAAGAAGCAATATGCTACAAGCAGAGGGAGAACTCCTCAGAGAGCCCGGCAACAAGTCACCATGCTGTTCAGGCCAAACACAACCTTCCTGACTCTTCGGGCTGCCCAGCTGAGAGCCTCAAGACGACCCCCATCCCTCAAAGGACTCCCTGGAGTGCTGTCAACCCTCCGAGGCAAGGGGTGAGCTGCTCATGCAGCAATCCTGGCTTCCAGGGTCTCTGTTGTGTCCCTTGGGCAACGGCCTGGTTCACCCAGTGGCCCCAAAGCCAACACAGTCCTGCAAGTCAAATCTTGCTCGTGAACCTGACCCCCCCAACCCCCCAAGTTGTCAGCACAGGGATCCCAACCCTCTGATTCACCCTTGGCAGGAGGGAGGTCACTCACCTGGGAGCAAACAAAGGTGAGCTCCGGATTGCACTCCATCAGACGGACGACTGTGACCCAGCTCCGAGCGCACTTACGGATGGTCTCCTCATACGGCCACAGCCAGGCTGCGGGGACAGACACATGGCCCTGCCATGGCTATTATTTGCCACAAGCTACCTGGGTGAGGTAGAGCCAGACTCCTCTGGGAATAGGGCTGTGCTGCCTTCTAAGGATCAGCCAGAGAAAACGCTAGAGCAAAGTGCTGTCCTTTGACCAAAGTGCCTCACAGCAATACAGTCCGGGACCACCTGCTCTTGCTTGTCCTGCTGCCTTTGAGACTGAAAGCCTCTCTAGGGACTGGAAATTGAGGGTTGAGATCCAACAGGTGGGGGAGAGTTGGCTGTAACCCACTCTTCATCGTCTACCCCATCAGAGCTCCAAAGAGCACAGCTAGCCAGATACACATTCCCCGGCCTCAGTGCCCTGGGCAGACCCTCTGCAGGGCAGCACAGCAGTCCCTTTCCCTTCCCTTGGGGCTCGGTGCCCTGATGCCTGGAGCCCAAGAGCAGCCGCTCTCCCTTGAGCGGCACACACTGGCCTCCTGGTCAGCAGAGGGGGAGCACTGGGCTGCTCTCACCAGTGTCAATGTGGCAGTGACCCATGGCATGGATGGTGTGCTGGCTCTCGCCGTTCTTCTGGCTGAAGATTGCCGCAGCCAAGCGACGGGCAGCAGGGAAGGTGGACGGGTCCGTGACATCACATAAGTTGACCATCTGGTTGGCAGCGTACAGCGCCTGAAAACTCCTCTGGTTTTCCTCCCCGAGGAGCTGGGGTGGGGAGTGAGAATAGCTTGACCCTGAGCTCAGCACATCCCTCAGCTCAGAGCAGCTCTCCATACAAATATGGGAGCCACCTGTCCCAGGGAGAACCTGCTACCTCCTTCTGGCATCTGCCTCTGCTACTGGTGCCAGGCAAGCACCATGCCCCCTGCCTCACAGACACAACCTACAGTCTTTGCACTTTTGTCTTTTAAAGACAGGCTAGACAAACAACCATCACAGATGGCTCTGGCCAAACAGATCCGGCCCTGGAGCAGGGAGTGGATGAAATAACTTCTCGCGGCTTCTCTCTGCTCAGTTTTTTCCCACTCTAGACAAACGTCAATTGTGCTAAAGCAGCACTAGCAAATACCTGTTCCTCTTGGGCCTCCTGGTGAGGGGAGATAGCTCTTGGAACAGTGAAGGAAAGGGATGAAATGAAGATGTTGTGGAAGGAGGGGGAAAGGGTGAGAGAAGGGAAGAGAATGAGCGCACAGACCTGGGCCATGTCCAGCAGTATCTCCAGATCCACCAGCAGTTCGTAGACATCCCTGTTGAAGATGGCCAGCTCTGCCTTGATCAGGGTGAACCTCTTGTCAGGGTCGGGAGGGGCAATCATGCTGCCCTTACCGGCCCCAAAGAGACCATTGCAGGCCAGCTCCACGTACAGCGTCAGGCTGTCGAGATCAAAAGGAAACCATCAGGGAGCAGATCACAAGCAATCGGCTGCAAAAGTCCATTCCCCTCCCCAAGTCCGGATCAGCCCGACCTGAACTCCTGACAGACCACTGAACGCTGGCTCCTTCTCAGAGCCCAGAGCACCCTGACGCCGCCCTGCCAGCCAAAAACAGACGCCCCAAAGGCACAGCGTCAGACTAACACCCCAACAGTAGGTAAGCTTGTCTCTCTAGGCGACAAAAGACACAACTTCACTGTGGGGCCCTACCTTGGAGAGAGAAGGGACAGCTTACTCCACTGATAAGCTGGTTATGGCCCAGCTGACTGCCTTTGCCGGGGCTGGATGGTCAGAAGGTGGCACTGACTCCACACACCTCTGAGCAGCCATGGATATCTCATCCCAGCCTCTTGGCTTCAAACGACTCCAAGTTCCCCCATGGCAGGGTGCTCCCTGGGGCTCTGGCCAGATGACCACCCACCTGTGGGGCTCCGTCTCCTTCAGGCTGCTGGTCAGGATGTAGCTAGTCTTCTCACCTTCTTTAGTCAAACCCTAAGTGGGGAAGACAGCACACTTAAACACAGAGCTCCACAGTTCTTGGACAGTGGGCTCCACAGCTGCTGGACGGGCAGGACAAGACAGCACAAAACCCTGCTGGATGGAAGGGGCCTGGTCCCACACATCTTGGGACAAAGCTTCCCACAACAACAACTGGCACAGAAACTGCTACTACTCAGCAGTAGCATGAACCCTGAGGACATTCCAGGCCTGGGGACACCACCACAGAGAAGAAAACAGGAAGGGACTGCAAAGGGTCACCCGGGCTGTTCCACTACCCCAAAGCAGGACTCATTTTGACCTGTTCTAGTCCCAACAGGAGTCTGTCCCACTGTTCTTGACAGTGGTGGAGATTTACATCTCAGGCCCAGTGCTTGCCTGTGGGCCCTGCAAGACAGATTTGCTAATGCCTAAGCAAGAGATACTTAGCTGTTACTGGTTTGCAGACCTGAATTTTTAACTCCTGTGGAGGTGGCAACCTCTAGAAAACAGACTCAAACCCACTACCTTGCTTGCTCTTCTGGGCTGCGTTCCCAGGCTCTTTGGAAATAGTCCGCACACCCTCAGAGTGCCTGCACCTTGTTCTGCCTGTCCACCAACACAGCATGCAAACCGCTAGTGTTACCCTCCCTCCCACGCTACATAGCGGCCTCTTCACAAACATTGCCCTTCCCTGCACAGCAGCTTTTCAGGTATTCAAAGACCGTTCTCCTATTGTCTCAGAGACTTCTTCTCGAAGCTTAACAGTCTTACAAGTAAATATCCTTCTTATGTTTTTCCTCATGATCACACTGTCTAGATTCTCTCCTGTTACGTGCAGTTGCTACATCGCTTCCCCCCAACACTTGCAGGTATTACTCTGAAGAGTGGGTAACAAATGGAAAGGAGTTTCCACTGCCCCATTAGGGAAGGGTAAGAAAGACACAGTGCTACAGAAAGGGCTCTGCAGCTAGCAGAGTGCCTGGCACAACTGGCACACACCTCGCCCGTGTCTCTTTACCTGGACAGGCTGAGCATCTCGCCACACCATGCCTTCGCCATCGCTCTCCCAGACAAAGTGCACCTCCTGCCCTGCCCATGCCTGAGGGATGCTCAGCTCCACTTTAAACCAGCAGGTCTCCCACCTGGAAGAGAGCATGCAGCAAGTTCACCCCACTGTCAAGATCTTTACCTGGAAGACGACCAGAAACCAGTCCTCGGAGCACAGCGAGGACCACGCATGAGATTTCATTGTGATACAGCTGTAACAATGCTATGTGTCCAACAGACCTGCTTTAATCTACACTCGCAGACACGGCATAGTCTGCAGGGTGGCAATCTCACACAGTGGTGCAGAAGACAACAAAATCCGAGAGTGCCCAGACTTGAATTACCCCTGGGAACAGACAGGCTCTCAGAAGGCAGGCCATATAACTGGCCCCAAACTGGCCGTTCCTGGACCCAAGAGAAACAGTCAATAAAACCAGGTCTTTGACCGCTGCTAGGGAAAACCCCAAACATACTCCCAGCCCCGGCAAAGCCTGTAGGTCCCACGCAGCTCTAAATGTCAGAATAACGACTACGACTCCGCTAACAGGAGCCCTCATCAGGAACGGCCAACGAACCGGGCTCTTCACAAACCCTCACCCAGCCCCACCCCATTGTCCGAAACAGAGACCGTCGCTTTCTGCCACCCGGTGAAGCTCAGTGGGGGATCCCTGTCTGACGACAGCTGCCCTCGGCTTCCTGCACGGCGTTCCAGGAAAATCTGCCCTGAAACGGGGCTCAAAACCCCCTGCTCGCACAAACCCTAACCCAGGCTAGGGCTCCTCTCTGAACGCTGTCCCGTCTGAGGCAGGACGCAGGCTGAGGTAGTTTTTCTGGGCGATCAGTTCCTAGTCAAACACGCAAAGGGGGCGAAGCACCATCCCGCCCGCTGGTCGCTGCCCAGGCGCGAGGCCACGGAGAGGGCACCC